ACTTGATCAGATGGCAAAACTTGGTTCATTGTCTAATGGAACCAATGTCTTAGGATGTTGCTTATAATATTGACCATTGGTTTGTCTGGTCCTGAATCAAATATTAACAGGCCCCCTTCATATAATGAAATGATGCTGAGTGTAATTTTCAGATTTCCTATTATTTTCACAATGACAAAAATGTCAACTAATGTCAACAAAATGTGAAAAAAATGTGTTGAAACAAAACATGACAAGTAGTGTCATATCATGCCCTGGATCGAAGATGTAGCAAGTTGATAAGTTCTCAATGTCTTACATCAAATCTCTTTGTAAGACTCCACATGAACGGATGTGTTCGGACTTGGTCAACCATTCATGCTAAAGAGCATAATCAAAACATGTTCGCAACATTTTCATTGCAATTTTATGTCCTGATCATCCCATTAGCATTTCATAAACTTGAAAACGATTGGCTTTTTATCAGGGGAGATTTTGTAAACAATTTGTAGCTAGTTGGGTCACTGATTGCATAAATATACAGTCGGAGTAATAAATATTCTATCATGTTCAAGAAGAAATAATTCAAGAGTAAATGTGAGCATTGGGCCTTGCAATCACACATACACAGGAGTGAGTATTTTTCCGGGGGACGAAGTCAGTGAATCGGAAGAGACAAGCCATACCCAAGCTTTGAAGTATCACTGCACTGAACATCCGTGACTCACGAAAGTGCTGCCCCCTACCATGTTTATACGCAATTAAAATGGGAAACACATCTTTCGAATACTTATGACTTCATTGAGAAAGAACTTCAAACGGTTTATGTTTATATAAAAGAAATTCTTGAATGCTTCCAATGTGCCGCAACTAAGCGACTTGTGATGGCGATATTTGAGGAAATTTACGATCAAATTAATTCATATTATGCAGCCTACTGGTAAAGAATGAATGCCACCTTGCCCTAAGTAACTGTCCATAACTGTCAGATAGTGTACAGTCATAACCACTGCGGCTTAACATACAAAAAGATATTCACGCTTATGCAAGTTTCAATCTTCCCTAAAAGCCATGAAACTACACAAATGAACATAAAGAAAAGTCCTTGCACTGAAAAGTCACAGTGTGATCAGTTAGCATTAGTTACAATATTACACCATTTATTTAGCCATGTTTTTTGTCTGTATCATATTTCTACTAACCTCCCTACCCCATTTTTTCACGACCCCCTAATAAAGGTAACACTTCATGACACCCACCCACCCCAACAAATGACCAGTCCCTGAGAAATATTCAAATTTATGATATGTTGTTTGAAAAAATAGAACTGTGTGACACTCACACTCTCCTCAATCTCACCAGCCTCTTATCAAATCGGGTGCAGAGACAGTCCCAGCTGTTGTTGTCTGGAAGGCGGGGTGTGATACTAATGGGATTTTCACTGTTATGCAACTTCCAGGGATGTGATATAATTCATATCACAATAGCTGAACCTTAATGTATAACAGCTTGCAATGTGGACTAACATGTTCTTACCACCAATCCAATTCCAAAATTTCCACTTTCCATCTATCTATAGCCCCATCCCCAACCCACAACACATACCCACTTTGCCCATCCCAAACAAGCACCTGCTTACTCGGTCCAACCTTTGAACATAGCATCACAGATTCTAGGATGATACAGGGTTGCTTCTCGGTGCTGTTGCTACCCCAAACTAGGGCAATATTCATGATAGACATCAGAGGTACAGTATGAAAAACAACTAGCATAGAACGAGTTCATTGTTGATCGTCAATTAGAATCAATGGATCCATTTACCTTGATAGCTCTCCATGATAAGGCTCAAATAGACATGTTCACGTAGAGAACACCCTTGCATATACTTTGTAAATATTACTTAACCAAAAGAATGTTCTTCATATCTTCATCCTTTAAAGCAAAGAAAATAACACCCCCAACACTTAATTTGAATTTCAAAGAAACCATAATTGCAGAGACAAAGCATCCACAGTCATCTCGTTATTGACACAATGTGTACCGAGTGTCAAAAATGATTAAATCTTTACGGGGAACACACAACCGTGCACAAGGACAATAGCCATTCCTACATCATGTTCACATATTGCTTATTTTGAAGTCAAATTTTACTATAAGAAGCAGTCACAAATGAATAGAACAAATAGAAAGGAATACCTCACATGGTGTCATGCAAGCACATGGTATTATCTGGCCCTGCTCACAGGCCAATATTCAGCCACATACCTGAATCAAATGTGAGTAAAAATTCCAAAATGGGAATGATATAGTTCCAATTAATGTTAATATTTATGACTGATGTGATGAGTTAGACAGGGTGTTACTTAAAACAGGACCAAAAAAGTGGATGTGGTTTAGTTTTTCATTATTGCATTGAAACAAATTTCATAATACCTCTGAAATTAAGAAAATACAAACCTTTAAAAAATAACAGTTCTGAACTAAAAAACATTTTTCCCCAATTTGCCTGCCAAGGGCACTTAGTTTTGTACCCTGGATATCTGGAGAATGCTCTATCAAGACATACAACAGTATAGATGGAAGGCTGTTATCTGCACAGAGAATAGTTTGGAAAGGAAGTCTGACATATTTGAGAACACTTGCACTGCATTGAAAGAAGGCAACGTCTCATTTGTCCCAACTGATACATAATAACAACAGAACCCCTCATCAAACTCCCATTTTTCAATCACACAACACAACAACAGCTGAGATGTAACAACTGACAACACTGAGTGTAGATAATTCTTCTCTAGGGCAGAAAACACACACCCGATTAACCCTTTACATATTGTCTACTCCCATAAATTCTGCAACATTAGCATGTGACAGAAGGAATCAAAGCTCGGTCTTTGTAATCGTCAAGCAATAAATTACTGTACTAAACATGCACAACAGTGCACACAGAGGCTTAGGATTCCACAAGGAGAAAACAATCAACTAGAAGGAGTACAATGTCGGGTTAACAACTGTTACCTAATATGAAGATTGATGATGAGTCTGTCCACTGGTCAACAATCTATCCTTGGTGTTTTCTAGTAGCCAAACACTTCACTTTTCAATAGATATGGTAATAGAACATCTTTGAACATGGACTAATCCAACGTAACAGAATTGAGACGAAAAATGGCAATCTGCAAGCGCTAATACTCAGTAATACTAATAGGCAAACAGATATTTAAATCAAACATACTTTTGGGTTAAACTGTCTGCACATGAGTTAACAGATATCAGAAATTATATTCAGCATAAATTTTGCGCAATCAGCTCCCCTACCATGCATCCATCATATCCAAAGCCAGGTTTTCAGTGCAAAAATCAAACACCTAATGGCACAGATGGAAGAAAAACATGCTGCTGTAGTCACTATAGAATATGTTCCCCGCAATTTGTATTCAAAGATCAAAGGGCTAGAGTTAGGGGTAACATACCCTACTGAACCCTAAGGATCTTAGAGAGACACGTAAATATTTTTTCTTGACGTTTATCAAGTTTTTATGATACTCTGAGCTGGCGAACAGATTTCGTACCAAATGTCTTAACAACGCTTATATATATGTTTTCAATTTCAGAAAGATAATTCAGCTAACAAAATTAAACAGTTTTGCTTTAGAATTATCAAAATAACAAAACAGAATCAGTCCTGACAAAGCTGTTACGAATTAAGGAGGGTCCTGTGATCATCAAGGTTTGAGCTAAAAATTAAAACCTAGGGCCCCCTAAATTTTTAACATCCAATGACAAGAAAACTGTTTTATCTATTTATTCATAGGCTTTGCATAGTTGAACTAGAATTTGATTATAACTGGTACTGCCAGTTAAAGATGCCAAAAAGGGTGGGGTGGAGTAACTGGAGAAACCAAGAAATTGTGTGGCATTAATTTCAAAAAATAGCTTCGAACCTTTTCAAAACAAAACAGCAAATCAGACTGGACACCTGGAGACAAAAGTCTGGACTGGAGGAAGTTGTTTTGGTGAGATGAACAAACTGGAGATGTGGCACATCAAAAGATTTAAAAAGGATAGAGAACAGATAAAATTCCCAACAAACTTAACCAAATACAGTCTATTTATCAGCTGAGGGTTTTTTAACTTCTTAAAGTTAATGAGTCACTTCGTTCCTGAATGTGAAATGTTGGCAGGATGGTTCAGTGGGAGAGAACCTGATAAGGTGGGCAAGACTGCGTATGTGAGGCAGAGGGATCATAAGCTATAACCAAATTCTTTAGACTCTCATAAAATCTAAGCTCAATTACCCCTCCAGACAACTACAACAGATATCATTATGGTTTAAGAAACATTTAACTAGCGCGCCTGTCTCAACCTACACAGCATATTGTAGGTGTTCTGTTTACAAAATACTAGGTTATTGAGTTTGTCAAAGGTGATTCATCCCTTATAAAAAAAGATGATGGATTAAAAAAAATGGTATTTTAAATATGGTCTAGTTTAATGCTTTTTACAAGCACCTCTATGTGAATTGAACTATCAGATTAAATGATAATAGTGTGACAGAAATAATATTTATAAAACTCAGTCAAAAGAGTACACTTCTTGCAAAAGGTGGATGCCAATTTTTCTGTTCCTTTGCGACCACTGAATCATTTAAGTTGCTCTTATGTGTGTAATATTAGGCACAATTAACTTAAATGATAAATGACCTCTCCTTGAAAGTAGAATCACGTCCGTTTGTTTTCATAACAGGCCTACTGTTGGTGCTAATAACCGAGGATACCCGCCTTCAAAATCATTTGGCCCGAGACTTTTACTTAACTAGATTTACATGTGATGAATTATGGTACTGATCGGATATGAGAATTTAGCAGAACGTACTGAGGGGAAACACTTGTCGATTTTCTCAATTTTAAGTTGTCACGGCAAGAAATCCCCCTGCTATCGTGATCCGAGACCAGCCTAGCAGACGAAACTGGTTGCTGCCTCGGTCAGATAATATCGACTCGTCACCACCTCCACTGTCTTACCTGTAACGGGACGCAAGGGAACTTGATCCCCATCCAAACCCTTTTCCGTGAACGCTCTTTTCACTTCTATACAAGCCATTTCGAAGCAGTGTCCATAACTGAGTAGAAGCCATAGTGCAATGGCACGAATACACCACGAAATACTGAAGGCCTGGTGTCCTTCGGCGGCCATTTTTTACTTCCAAATGTGTGCCGGGGAATTGAAGGGTCGTGGAATCTTCGGTTTCGACTTTGCTACCTCCTAATCAACAAATTCGTATTGATCATGACCACATCCCACTAGAATCCGTTGAAACACACGACATATTCAAGAAGATCTTGTCACAGGTTCTCCGAAATCCAAGAAACTCGTACACAATCTCCCCGTCGTACAAAGCTCGAGCTTTGTAACAATGTTTGTGTTCAGCTGTTCCTTTTTCCTCCTGCGGCAATAACCTACAGCATTAAAGAGATGCAGTAAATGATGACTATTCTATTTTACAATAGAAAAAGGAAGTATGTGCATCATATATACTTGAACATGTTTCATGTAACAACATTAGCTTCGACAGCGCTTACACTTATGTGACAATGTAAGAAAATGCCACTGTAAGAACTGTCAGGGAGGTAAACGCATCGGCTGAACCACCCTTGCCAAGCGGTCATGCAAAACCTCTTTTCATTGGTCGGTAGTTAAGCAAATCTCTCAGCCATTGGATTACTTTTATAGAGGTATGCGGCCATTCACACAATCAGACCAATAGGTTTATTGTTCAAGCCGAGGCCCGCGACAAAACACATACCGTTTCTACATCCCATTCACAATCACTATCAGACTGGTACGGTCGATAATTTTATAATCTTATCTATTGTTTGCTCAGTGATAGTTTATCGCTCGACTGTCTAAGATCTCTAAGAACGAGGGAGAGCTATTGTACGGGGTATCTAACTCAGACCGATAACTACAACCGGAGGCCATCATATCAGGTGGATGGGCAAATAATTTAATTACTTTCGGTTATCACTTACTTTGGGTATCAGTTTAGATACAATATAAGAATCAAAACTGATGGCATGGGAGTACCGTGCGTGTCTTTGTGTTATTTGACAACCTGGATAATTATTTTGAAATCCCTTGATATACACAAAGACATATATATACGATCATTGCCTGTGGATATTTTCCGAGCGTGTTGCCTTGTTTGAAACTACACGTTTAAAAGTATAGGTCATATTCAGTCATAATGGTGATTTGGAAAAACGGTCAGCGAAATAAATTCCAAAATCCACCCATCTGTCTCTATCTATCGATACAAATTGAATACAGCCACCTTTCTTGGTGTATCGTCACTGTTGCCTGTGCTGCCTGAGATTACGAACGTCAGGTTCTATTTCGGACGGATAATGTTTTCTCACATGTGTGAGAAGCATTTCTCACAGGGCGGAAATTACTCAGCACTGCCACGCCCCCTCCCTCGAACACGAGTCGCGAGCCGCAACCATGGCTACCCGACTTGTGCCGAGTCCTGATAGCTTGGTTGTGAAATTTCATTTACGTTTATTTTGTAACGTTGATTATATAAGTGTACTGTGAGATCCAACTGAGTAGAAACGTCTTAAATCATTGAGATTTAATTTGAAAGCAGTATTTTCATACCTTTCTTACAAAGAGTTTATCGTTTCTAAATATTTGTGTCCTAGCAAACATACATAACCATACTAGATTTATTTTTTCACTATGGAATAATATGGGTCTGTAAAATTAATTTAAAACAAAAATACAAGAAATATTCGCATTAATCTTGGAAACGCTCTAAAACGGCTTTTACTTTTAACGTGTGAGAGAACTTGTGTAAAAGTGTGTCACATAAGCTGTTCGTTAGATCTGGAATCAAAACAAGTCCACGAACGTTAGCGCCACATTTTCTGAGTTGTTTATTATAAAACACGAGATGTGTGTATTTCTTACAAAGTAGGTTTCTTTCCGCTGTGACGAAAATCAAGGTTCAGTTGCACCTACATAACACCACGCCCACGTAACGATGAAATCGACAATGATCGCATTAATCATAAGAATGGATTTTTCTCAAATAAATAAATAAATAAATAAATAAATAAATAAATAAATAAATAAATAAATAAATAAATAAATAAATAAATAAATAAATAAATAAGACAGATAAAAAATAAAATAAAATAAAATAACAAAATGTATTCAGGCGAATGTTTTGCTCCAATTAAATTACATTCAAACCAAATACAATCAGTTAATATCTCCAGACATTTCATTGCTGTGGTACTGTAATAAAACAGACGTCAACATAATGTATAGCGGCAACATTAGCAATTAGCGACCATTGTTAATGGCTATCAGTGCCAACAACGAGGCTGTGTCGCCAGGTGACAGCTCGCGCATACTAGTCCGTCGTTGTGGATTTGTCAATACTCGGGTAAGAAATTAGCCCTGCTATTGTCAGGATGTTTATAGCACCAGTGAATAAGGCTTCATTAGTAAACAGCAGCAACGTGTCGTGTTTATATCACGAAATAAATCTAAAAACAAACGGCGCAGATTGCTTTTAATCTATACATTGTTAATCGAACGAACATGTATTAATTATTCTTCAAACTGTAACGTAAATTTGTGTATGTCATGTTTAATCAAGATGAGTATATGAGAATGTAGTATTTAAATAATTACAGGCTCCTACTCTAGATGAAATACTAAACCCTAAAAAAAAACTAGAAAACATTTTAAGGCCCTAGGCGTATTCCTAATCAAAACAGATCTAATTAAGCGCATCTAAAAACTCATTAATCTACCAATCCAAAATCCAATAAACATACAAACACCCACCTCACCCGGCTCCCTTAGTTCCCTCCTCCACCCACTTCGGCATTTATTCCAAATTTAAAAATTCTAAAAATTCAATATAAGCAACCCCTAAAAGCCCCCTCTTGGGTTGCACACACCACTTTCACCCTTTTCGCAATACACTAAATGGTCCGACCAGGCCCGTGTGCGAAATACGCTACAGTCGGAAAGCGCACGTTAAATCTCCTATATCAGTCAGTCAACCCTCATTCTCAAAATTTCAAAATTACTATATTAGCAACCCCTAAAGCCCCCCTCCTGGGTTGCACAAACTCACTTTTCCCCTTTTCGGAAAAAACATTAAATGGCCTGGCCGGGCCCGTGTGCGACATACGCTTGCAGTCGGAAAGCGCACGTTAAATCTCCAATATAAGTATGTAAGTAAGTAAAATAATTACAAGTTGTAATGTATATATTTAACATGTTAGAATTCAGCATAGCATAGCATAGCATAGCATGTGGTCAGATGATTGAAATATTTTATTTGGATTAGTTAGTTTGGAACAAACACTCAAATACATACAAACGTAGTGCTGTAGTGTAAGTTTATCTTTTATGCCCCAGTCAGCAAATATTCCAACTATATCATAAATAATCGAGTCTAGGACACGAAAACCAATGGTTGATAGACTGAGCGACCACCTATGTGCGATCTTCAGTCCTCTCTCTAACAAGAATACGGACATTGTAGAGTATCAGTGTACTAACATCTAGTCTATGGAATATTTGATTACACAATAAATTTCTCTCCTTTAATTATTTTTCTCATCCTGACGTGAGCTTGAATTTTAAAATATGTTTTTTGGTTTAATAAAAATACAAATATTCCAGTCATGGCGCAGGACCAAGAGATCTGTTCGACCACTGAATGTCCACGTGGTCGTTGTCGTGTTTTGTTGATCTAAACATATTTTATTGCGAAAGGTCAAATGGATAAGGCACTATACACACATACATACGTACACACCATATACATGTATACAGTATTACACTCAAACACATATACCTACATGCACAAACACACACACACACACATAAATTTATATATATATATATATATATATATATATATATATATATATATATATATATATATATACGAGATACGGTGATATATATACGAGATACATTTATATTTATTATTATACAATGGTACATTCGTTAAAGATATTTCATGTATTTAATAACACGACAGTTGTTAATAAAATGATAGACATTTTCAATTTAAGTATAGGGCGGATACTATAGAATATTACTAAGCTGTGATAAGTACCTTGGATGCTATTGTTTTACATAAAAATCAAAGTCATAACAAATACTGAAACTAATAGATCGTGTTTATATCAAGGATATATACTTGTTCATCGCATGGCGCGGACACACATTGTTTCACGTGAACGGCCTACTAACTTTATATTACATATGTATTGAATAACAAGCACGTGTATGATAAATTGAATATTGAAAGGAAGTTTGGCATGTATACATTTGATTCATTTTGTAATATTCTTTCGCCATATGTTCCTAAATTGTAAAGCAGATCACGCGAATTAAATATTATTGCACATGTTATTTTGAATGCATATGTCAAGTATCAACATATTGAAATTATTTGCAACAAATTAAACTTTCTTGTCGACACTCCTCACACTGGGAGCTTAGTGCATTTGGTAAATGATTATTTTAACTCTCAAGCACCTGAGCTCAGATACACACCGACAATATCTCCCTGTAGCACACCCTCCAAGATTTCAGTCTCTTTCCCAACCTTATCTCTCGCTCGCGCAGTAATATCACGTGATCTATGACGTATAACACTGGTAATACTGCGTAAAATTTGACCTCTGACATGGTATACGAAATCTAGCATTCCCAGCTCCTAGTCTTAGTCGGGCTAATGACAATAACACTCGCCTTCTCGTAAATCTTCCTATGCCCTGCTTGACAAATGGTGGCACTTGGTATTTTCAAACCAGGGACAAAGTGAAACTATATTTTCAAAAAAATATTTCGAGTCTTTGGTGTCGTCCCCTAGCCGTGTGGGATTGTATAGAAAGCTTTTCTACCAATTATAAAACTTCCCATCCATCGATCATTTTGTAGACACGACAACAAGAGGCTTCCACGCTGTTCTAATCATGGAGTCGTCTTGGTGTTTGCATCAGTAATGATTTTGAAAATAGTTTTAATCTACATGTAATACGATTTTCAATTTATAGGAACCGGTAGATAAGATGATTTTGTCTTAAGTGATCTGATTTTCGGTGACCCATCGGCATATGATCACCACTATTTTGCTATATCTAGGAGAGTAACAATATTTAAATAATATCCTTCAGATTCATTTATATTTGATGGATGCACTAGGGGAAATACGACACACACACACACACACACACACACACACACACACACACACACACACACACACACACACACACACACACACACACACACACACACACACACACACTCTCTCTCTCTCTCTCACACACACACACACACACTCACACACACACACACACACACACACACACACACACACACACACACACACACACTCACACACACATTCACACACACACACACACACACTCTCTCTCTCTCAAAACAAAAACAAAACACACACACACACGATAACTTTTGCCTCGTTTAGAAACAAACATAGCTATCATTTATTCCTTGGATCATTTATTCGTCCAAAAATTAATT